AGCTTCTCAAATGTTACATGTATTTCCATTGTTTTAATTAGATTATGTAATATATTATTTAATGGTTCTTTTTTTATTTTCTTTAAATATTTTTTAAATTGAGCCCTTCTAAAATTATTTGGATGTATTTTTTTTATATAAATACTTTGATATAATAGAATTATAAATTATTTTATTGTACTCTAAATTTAATCTCATTTTCTTTAGTACTCTTTTTTATGATATCTTGTGCAAAATCCTTCAATACCTTCATATAATGCCATTCTACATGTTCCATCTATTGATTAGCTTCAATAGAGCAAAATAAAAAAACTAAATATTAACTTGACTCCTCTTTTTTATTATAGTTGGGACCTTCAAATTCTATTTAATGTAACTCACTTTTAAATTTCATTTTGTCTATTGCAGCCATAATATTTATTTCTTATTTATAATCCAACGCTCAATTTTTTAGAGCCTTCATTGTATCATCTAGTTCATTTGCATCTTTATTTTTTATTACCCCCTCACTTTACAAGTTACGCAAGTACCATGACTATGATTAGGAGCATAATCATCTATATAGTGCAGGATTGTAGTTTAATATTGTATTATTTTTAATATCATATATTTTTACATAATCTTTTGATATAATCAACGTTACTCTGGTTTTTTTAAAGGCATGTGAGTTTAATTTTTAGTTCACTTTTGATAAAAACTTTTTATGAAAACAATCAAGCATGCAACAGATCAAAGAAGGTTTTTGTCTTCACTTGTTTATCCCATGTATTTATCTTTCCTTGAGTTGTTTTATATAACCAATATTTTTATCCATATCATGTCTTTTAATGATTTAATATATATATATATATATATATATATATATAGTATTGCTTATGGATTTTTTTTTCTTTTATTCCTTATATGATTTTTCATTCACTATATGCCACCTACATGCTTTGTCAATGCTAGATAAAAGAATAAGATTTTGATAAAACTTGTAATTTATGACTATTTATATATTTAATATTTTTTATATTAATAAGATATTTTTTATTAATATTTTAATAGAAAAAAATTTATTCTTATATATATATTTTTTTTATTCAAATTAAATTTACATTCTATATAATTTGAAAAAAGATAATGCATAAGAAATATTTATAAATTATTTAAATTAATGAAAAAGCTAAAGAAATATGTTGAATAAGTTGAAAGTTTTAGTAATAATAGCAAAAATTGTGGTAGTAGGTAGTACATGGCAATTTATAGAAGAATAGAAAAACAAATTGTGGCATTAGCAATATATATATATATATATATATATATATTGCAAGCTAGAAAAAAATTAGCATTTTTATAAATTATTTCATATTAATTAAATCAATATCTTACAATTTGAAATAAAAAATATAATAAGTCAATTAAAAATAGCATCTTTAATACTATTAATTAAAAAATATTTATTATATTTATAAAAATATATTATAATATATTTAATATGTCTAAAGATATTTTTTATTTTTTATTAAAAAATTTACAAAAATATTTTAATAATTAGTATTATTATAGTTTAATATTATATAAGATTCCAGTGTCTTTTAATTCTTGAAACTTTGGACTTATGCTTTATTAATTATATTATTGCACATTGATATTGTTATACATGTTTGCATATACTATAACCTTTAATTATAGAGACCTTAAAAATTCTATATGAAATGGTAAAAATACCACATTATTTCTATATTTAATTTATTTTAGACAAAAAAATTGTTTAAATCATATCTATATCTATATTTTGATTAAAATAAAAAAAATAAATATATAATTTTTAATTTAACACAATATAAAAATAATTTTCTTCTTAATAAGAATAAATTCAAATGAAGTGATATTTACAAAAATAAAAATAAAAATATTGAAAATTTAAGTTTTATTGTAAATTTATATGCTATACAGTTTTAAATATTTCTAACTTAAGAATATTATTAAAAACACATACTTAATTTATTTTATTTTATTTAAACATAAATTTTTGCTTATATATATATAAATTAACTTTAATATTATATATATATATATATATATATAAACATCAATTTAAAGTATTAAATAAGCTACATAAGCATGCATTTTATACATTCTTTTGATTTAAATCAAAATTTAAAAATGTGACCTAAATTTTGAATTAAAATAATGTTTTTACTTGAATCAATCTTATTATGTTATGTAAATGTTTTTTTAGTATTATTATTATAGTTGAAATGGTGATTAGATTGGAACTACAAGACTAGTATTAGGATTATGGGTCAAAATTAAGATTGACAATTGCACTGAAGAAAAGCTTGAGATCTTGTTTATCTTTATTATTAACTTTGATTTCAATTTCTATTTCAATAATCTGACCAAAATCTATAATCTATATTTAATTTTATATTTTTATTCCTTTAATACCCATTTATTATATTAATTCAACTAATTAAAATCATTTCAAAGAATAACTTTGAAATTCCTTGGCTTTTTTATATCTTATTTACTTGAATAAGATTTTTTTGGTAATTCTAAATTATAGATATTTTAATTATAAAAAAATTATTTTTATTTGATAAATCAGAATTTGATTCATAATTTTTTAAGGATTTCATTCTATCTTTTGAACAATTATTTCTGTATTCTTGATATATTGATGAAATGATGCTAAAACTTACAATTATTATTTGTAAAACTAATCTTATTTTTTAATCTTTTCAATTTGAAGAAAATAAGCTCTTACATAAAAAAGATGTGTTTGAGTTCTTACATGTTTTTTGATAAATATTTGTTGCTCTTTGAATTAATACATGAATAGAAATAAGAAAATATAATAGATCTTATATTATGAAAATATTTCAGATCTTTTAAAAGAGACTAGACATCTAAATATAAATGATTAGAAATCAAAGGATTTTAATCACAACTAAACTTCTATCGAATACATAATTCTGATTTGGAATCCATGCAAACTCTAGCCACTAATTAATAAAAACTTAAAATTTTCAATTATAATTCTGTTGAATAAAAATTCAAATTTTTTTTATTTTTATTTTAAGAAAATTATTACTTGATTGAATACTTAAAATACCAATGTTTCTTTTTGGATTTATTATTCTAAGTTCTTTTTTTTCTTTCTTTTTTTTTTTTTTGAAAATATATATATATATATATATATATATATATATATATATATTTTTGTGATCATCAAAAGCTATCTATCTATTAAAACTTTATACTTCTTTTATGTTGTTTGTAGACTAATGATAAAAAATACTTTCTATGCAATCTAAAGACAGAGATATAATTTTAAAATAACTCTAGTATATTATATATTATAAATTCTACTCTACAATTGATTAAAGTTTAATCCTTGGTGTACTAGCTTATGATTTGTTATTAGTTTCAACCATGTATTTTAATATTACAAATAATATTATCTTTAATTACTTCTTAAATAAAAAAATTGAATCTTTACAATGAATATACATACATATATATATATATATATATATATATATATTCACAGTATACTATTTTCTCCACACAATTATTTCTTTTCATTATGTATAAATTCTAGTAATTCCATAACTTTAACAAAAAAAACCTATAAAATCATAACACATATTTTATGTGTTCTGAATTATTTTCAAAATAGATCTATATAATTGGTCTTGGTTTTGTTAATGTTTATTTTTATTTTTATTTTTTTCCCAAGATGCTATCCAAAATATATAAAAAAATAATTCAAAATAGATTATTTTTATAAATATAGATTTTAGTTTTTTGGATAATTTTGTACAAAATATGAAGAATTCTTGAGATAATTGGTCTGTAATTGCTTAAATATTTGCAATTGATATCTTTTAATAGTAATATAATTTTTTTATTCATTTTTTGTATATATATTAACACATTATTGAGTATATGGATGAAATCATTATTAATATTATACAAAAATTATTAAATTGCACCATAGAGTTTATTTGCTATCCAAAAATTTAATCAGATCCAAGTTTATTAGATGTGTGATCTTAGGTTAAATAATGCCAACAAAATTTCAATACCTTCAACTTTATGTGCAGAGTTTCTAAGACATTTTTTCATAGATTTGTAAAGAAGTACACACACATTCTCTACATCTTATTTGCACTTCACGTTATTTCTACAATTGTTATAAAATGCAAAAATATATGACCTTGCACTCCTCTTTCCAATTTATATGGAAAAATATCTTTTGAATTTGACACTTCAGGTTTTCTATCTAACGCTTGAACATATGATCCCTTCTTGTTTTTTGTAATCCTAAAACATGTGTATGGTGTTTTACAGGTGCGACTGCTCTTCAATTGTTGTTGCCTATTGTCATATACTTATTCCGGATGGCGTCTGCACGGTGTGCGTTGCAACAATTTTCCAGAGTTTGACTTGATGTCGGTTCCTGTATGTCATTTCGTTGCTTGTTTGGTGTATTGTAAAGTGCTATTGTGATGATGCATGTGCTCTCGTTGTGATCATTCATGTTGCATAGTTTAGAGTACTAATTGGCTTATTTGTTGTTTAAGTTTCTAATGCAACTTCGGAGTAGAGTGTTGCTTCTTGATACATAGGTGAGAGCTGTCGATTAGGCTTCTCTGCAATAGTAACCACAAGAATACAGAGTCTCACTGCTTTGCGTGCGAAGCTTTTTGTGCACACGCCTTTGCTTGTAGTTGACGTGACTGCGTTGGCTCAGAATGCGTGATGATTGCTATTATAATGAGTTTATCGTAACAGTGTAAATCAGTCGAAGTGTTTCGTCCAAAATAACATTCCAGTTTTTATGATACTACTTGTTCGAAGTGTTGTGATACGTTGTCCACTGGTAATGGACCAGAGAATTCAGTATCTCTTTCGCAATACCAATTCAACTACTGGATTTGTTTGAAGCAAAACTTGACTCCACCCTACTCATCAAAACAGATTCCAATCAGGTGACCCCGTTTAAGTGCAGTGCTGAGAATATTGATCGATACCGACCTAACAGTTTGGAGGTGCCCACATTCGGCACCCATATCATTATACAACAAAATTTGATCCCCTCACCAAGAGAACATCACTACGATGTTGATACATGATGTTTTTACAAGAACAACGAAACAGCACAAGCAGACCAAAGTGTATGCACAACTTCAACTATATGTACATTACACAACGCGAGCGATTTCACCTAGCCTGGCTCTCAAACCGTTGTTTTCAGCTTCCAGACGACCGATTTCACCATGAAGCAACGCTATAATAATTTCATATGGAAACATTGGAATGATTCTTTGCAGGGATTCTATGGTGCAAGCCCAGTTTACCAGATCAGCGCCACCCTCTGCAACACAAAAAATCAGAGTGTAATTAGTAATCATCGCAAACCAATGCTCACACCCTCTAAAAAAGGCAGAACCAATACACACTGGATTGTCATTCGTTGTTCTTGTAAAAACATCATGTATCAATACGATTTTATGTATAACTTGGTGCCAAACAGCATGATCCGTTTCCAAGTGCTGCTGGATCAGGCCACTAACCAATGCAAAGAGCGCTATCAATGTCGAAAGGAGACTCCTCATCACCCAAGGCAGCAGGAATCACGTCGCCGTTGCTGTTCTGGTTGTGTACTGCGGGTGCTTGTTGCGGTGCTGCAGCTTCCTCTTGGGCTTCAGATTTCTGCAAACCATTAGTCGAACAAAACTTCATTTAGATAAGGTCTGTTAACGCCTACTTCGTAATAACAACAATATCTTGCTATTCAAATGGTATGTTTACAAAATAAAACAAACTGAAAATATACTAAAACCCTAAACCCTGAACCCAAAACCTAACCTATGAACAGTCTCTCAAGATTGAAAAAAACTGAAAGAAATTGACACACTGTCGCCAGATTTCTCCAAATTTTTTTTACAATTATTATTCCATCGCACATTCGCATACGAGCACTCACAATAAGCTTGTGAACGTCCAAAGTCAACGCGTGCAACCGTTTCTTCATGCCCGGATCCCAATTCAAGTGATCCCTATCCTTCTTACGGTGGTCTTCGGCGAGGCCAATCATCCGAGGATCTCCACTAAACTTCTGAGCTATTAAATAGCGATCCTCCCAGTGATTCAGCTGGTTCTTCTGCAGCCCTAGGAACTTTGTTTCACCCAAAATGCACAACCTAGCAACATCATGAGAAATTCCCACCAGTTCTCTGTCCTGACCAAAGTTAGCACTGTGAACCTTCTTGCAGCCCCTGGACCCCGTGCGCATCTCCAAATGATAACTTAGACCGCGCCTCATTACGCCAAGCGGGAGAGGCCTCTCATCTCGACCTGCCACAATGGCATCCAAGCTCTCGCCTCCTCCTCCTCCTGGAACTCTTATTCTCTGGCAATAGATTCAAAGATAGAATTAGAGCTCGTATAGAACAGCCTGCTGAGATCCTCACCCTTGTCGGCAGACGGCAGTCGGCAACGCAATTCAATTTCCAGGAACGGGGACAAAAAAATTCCGACGCCTGACATGAAGCCTCGTCAGTACGTGTTGCAGAAACCTCTCTATTCAATCGACTGGCTCCGCCATTGTGGGCCGTCGGATCGCAGCTGTCACTCAGATGCAATTTTAACCGCTGATCGGAATTCTGGGAACGGAGTGAGGGAACGTAGTGGAAGAAGGGGGCGGGCACGTTGGAAACTCAGATCTCATTCCTCATTGGCCCCGCAATGATCCACATTGACATGGGTGCTGAATTTTGTTCAGGGGCTGCCTCAGTATCCCACTTTTCAACCATCACTCTTGTTTCAATTTTTGTTTGTTTGTTTGTTTGTTGTTGTTGATATCGTACACAACAGCACTCAATGTCCATGATACTTTTGTTTTCAGGAAGAATTCTTGCAACTCATAAAATGTACTCATTAATTTTTTCTCAAACACAAATATTTTATAAACAAGGATTCATCATTGATTATTTTATTTATAGAAGAAATAATATATAGATTGGCTGATTTTAATTTAATTTAATTTTTGTAACAATTTTTTAATTTACACATATTCTATTGAAAAATGTTGTAAATTCTTATTATTATATTTTAATAAAAAATCAAGAGAACTCATTAAATTAAAATTCTCTTCAAATTTTTTTTTGATACACGATATTATATTGGTATGTTTTTTTTAGAATATTTTGCAAACCATAAAACATTTTCTACAAGCATTATGTATCTAAGTAGTTTAACAATTAAAATAAATGTGGTTGTAAAAACCACCACTAAAACGAGTCTTTTTATTATATATAATAGTAAATATCATCAAATCAAATTAAATCCTTATATGAAGTATCACATTTTGAATCCACACTCTTAATAAAAATCTAAATTTTGAAGAACAATTCTACATCTTTGTCAACATTGCATCTCTTTAAAAATATTTTTTGTGGGATTTGGCAAGCCCTCTTGTAGTGAGCCACTACCTGTGGATACATAACACAATTTTTTTTGTGAAAGACCACCCATCCTAAGTCATTGGGGTCCTGCTGCAATTTAATGTAGTATTGTAATAAAAAATTATATAAATTTTATTTTATTCATAAATATTCTTAAAATTTGTATATAAAAATTACACAATTTTTTTATTGTCTAAAGAAGTTTTTAAAATATGTATGTTAACTTGTGTTTATTAATAAATAATTTTTTACAAAATATAATTTTGAATTAATAATTTTTGTACATTATCATCATTACCATAATATTCTTGTAAGTATATAAACATGCTTCTAATACTATTAGTATTCTAAAAATAAAATAATAATTAATATGCTATTTTGTGTCAATATTTAATCTATTAATTATTTAAAAAAATTGATTGTATTAATATTTTAAATTACAAAAACTAAATTTTTTAATCATTATTTATAAAATAGTTATATTAAAGAATATTTTTTTGAATTTTTTGAGCAAAAATTCTTCCTTGAAATAAAAATATAATGTATATTAAATGTTATTATGTATAAAAATAATAAAATAAAATAAAATAAAATAAAAATAAATAAATGCTTGAAGTAAGAATGATGGTTAAAAATTGGGATTGAAAAACAATCTTGGAATAAACTTCAGCATCCATGTATGTAAGTGTGGATGAATGTAGACTCAATAAAGAATAGTTTTTGAGTTTCTAATATGTCGCCTTTTAAACTACTCAACTTCTAACCTGCTCACTCCTTGGTTCTCCCATGTTTCTTCCTTCCATTTTAAGATATTCAATCAATGGTTGAGATTTTATTTAAGGAGCAATTGCAATCTAACAACCCATAATGATAGAGCTAATTGATTGAGTAGTAATCTTTTTATGACACAATTCTATAAGATAACTTGAAGGATTAGTAGAACAAACAAAGATTATTTTTTTGCGGCTTGCCCAATTGTAATTGTAATCTTAGTCAATTTGATACGATTGACAATGCACAAGCTGACAATATACAACAAGTTCGACTTTCATAAAAGGTGGACATGAGCTCTCATTCTCTACAATGATATAATGACGATATAAGGAATCTATGAGATGATAATTATCTATATGGAATACTACATATGTAGACACCACAAGCAATTGTACATCCAAATATTTACCAAAATCTTTGAGTCAGGTAGTTTTTAATTTAGAATAGTGATGCAAAAAACCTTCATACTAACCATTCAGGTTAGGCTTTGCTATAACTTCATTAGACAATACATGATTTGTATTGAGCTCATTTCTTATCTCTACACATGTAGAAGAACCATTTTTCTTAGAAAATTGAATTATAATAGCATTATTTCTAGCATGGTGTTTAGTATATTAAATAGTGGATCTAATTAAATTGATATTGGTAAAGATGAAATGTAAATTGTAGTGAATCAAATCAAATGTTGATATTAAAAATAATATTGGTTCAATTATAGATTAAATAGCTTAAATATGAAAGCAATATTTTTATGTTTATGGCAATGATACTTTAGAATCCAATGAACTTGCCTCAAAACTTATTTCTTTTTTTATGGATTTTTTTTTGCAATATGAAATAATATCACATGCAGTGAATTTTTGCATATATGTCACTTTTTTGTCACATTTTTTTTAATATATATATATATATATATATATATATATTAAGCCTTATTTACATTATTATGGACTTGCATCTATAGGTAGCTATAATATTATAGCAAAAAATTCAACCATGCATGTATATTAATTGTTTCTTGCACAATCAAGGGCAAGTTTAGAAATACAATGAGTAATAGTGGTTTGTGGCCATAGAAAATTTTAAAAGGGAAGAAGCTTGTGCTTAAATGCATATTTGTTAAATATACAGAGATAATTGTTGGTGGCATGGTATGTTAGTACTAATTATATTCTCTATTCTTTTCAATGAGTGATCATAGAATATAATTAAATCTTTTTGTTAACGTGTTGTATTAATGATAGTAAAGAGAAGTGGTTGTGTATTTGGTGTATAAATAGATGGATAATATATCTATTAGTGCATTACAAAATTCACTCCTATTGTTTATCAAATTTTCAATAGGATTACTATATTGTATCATGATAGAACTTAAGAAGAATTAGGCAATTTCTTTGCAATCATTTTATTCCAATGTTTGGACATCTATTTATTTGGTAAAATAAAAAGTGGCAACTATAACATATCTATGATTAGTAGTGGTTATCATTAATGATTCTATAAGATCCATACCCACCTTCACAAAAAATTCAATGATTGAATAGAAGTTAATATGTGTAACTTTACATTCTTGTTGTAAGAGTGCTTTGTAAATTCCACCTTTAAAGACCAAAAGAAATTGTCACAATAGTAGAGTCCATCATAATTCAGTCATGATTTTAAATTTTTTTAGAAATAAAATGTGAATTAACCTATTATAATATCTTATTTTAATATTTAGGATTTTATAAAGTAAATTATATATGCTCAAGTATTTTTAAAGAAATAATAAATAATAAAAATATAATTATATAATTTTATAGTAATAAACTTAGAATAAATAATAACACCATCAATCTTATATTTGATTTGGTGATATATCAAAGATAAGTGGAAAGGAGCCAAATTCCATTTGATGCCAAGGTAGCAAAAAAAAACATTGGAGTTGGTATACCAAATCAAGATCTTTAATAGTGAAGTAAGGTTCTGACTCTATGAAATTAATTTGAATTAATACATTGCTATTGGTATATAAACGTCTTAGTTAGTGGATATTTAAAAAATAATAAAATTGAAGAATTAAGGCCCTGTAAGCCAACTATCTTATTAAATAATCAAACTTTATGAGATTGCACATTGGAATATAATTAATATCAATGACAAATTGAAGATTATGGAAGTATGGTTGGAAGTGCTTCACAACAAAGATGACAATAAGACCTTTCTTATTATTGTTGCTATAGTTCTTTTTAGTTTTAGAAAGCCATTGTGAAGCATAGGTTAATACTTGTTCATCACCATCAATTTATTGATCTAAATTAGCACCAATTACATCTTATCTGACATTAATATGTAAGATGAATAATAAGTGGAAGTTAAGATAAATAAAAAGAAAAATAGAGTAGAAGGTAACCTTGAATTTGCCAAAACCAAGCTCTTTTATTTGATTAAAAAAAAAACATATCTGTTTTTATTAATTGATAGAGAAGTGCTACAATAATGGCAAAGTTATAGATAAAGAATTGGTAGTGATTAACCAAGCAAATAAAGGATTGAATAGATTTGAGATTAATAAGAGTTGAAAATTTTTAAATAATGCATAAATTATTTAGATTGGAATAAAGCTATATAAAAAAAAATAACATAGCCAAGATATCTAAATTTAGATAAGTAGATGATATACTTCTTGATTTTTAATTTTAAAATAATAGCCAAAATACAAAAAAAGATGTCTTAAAAATCATTAAGATGAGAATTAAAATCTTTAAAATATATATTGATATTATATATATATATATATATATATATATATATATATATATCAAAGCACACTCTCAATAAAACTTCTTTAATACTATATCTATGAGATGCTAGGACATATACATAACATTGCATAATTGCACTACCATGGATTAGGTCTTGGCAATAAATAAAGGCAATATTTTTTTTTGATAGAATTAGAGAACAAGACTTATCAAAAGCTACCAGCTAAATCAATTGACAAGAAGATTGTAACTCTTTGCCATTAATCAAAGATATTATCAATGTATAAAAGGATATACATATTTTTTTTCTAATAATATTCAAATAATGATAGTTGATGCAAAAATGAATACAATCATCATTCTTCTCTACCAAAACAATAGACAAAGCTCAAAAAAAAAGAAGGTTGGCCATGCTTTATAAGGATAAATTTCATCCATTAGTTTAAATTACAAAAGAGCCTTAATTAAAAATTATTTTTTATTTGTGATATGAAATAAAAGAAGGAAGAATATATATATATATATATATATATATATATATATATATATATATATA